TCCAGGAGGAGGAGGAGGAGGAGGAGGAGGAGGAGGAGGAGGAGGGAGGAGGAGAGGAGGAAGGAGGAGAAGGAGGAAGAAAAGAAGGAAGAGGAGAAGAAGAAAAAGAAGAAGAAAAAGAAGAAGAAGAAGAAGAAGAAGAAGAAAAAGGATTTATAGATGAATATTTATAAAAAGAAGAAAAAAAAGAAGAAAATAAATAATTCAATAAAGAAAAAGAAGAAAAAGAAGAAGAAAAAGAAGAAGAAAAAGAAGAAGAAAAAGAAGAAAAAGAATTAAATAAAGAAAAAGAAGAAAAAGAAGAAGAAGAAGGAGAAGAAGAAGAAGAAGAAGAAAAAGAAAAAGAAGAAAAAGTTTTATCTGTTTTTGTTGCTACAAGAAGAAGAGGACAAAGACCACAACGAATACGCCAGCCCCAATATGTACTACCTGCATGCATGCATGCATGCACAATAAATAAATAAATAAATAAATAAATAAATAAATTAATTAATTAATTAATTAATTAATATTAATTAATTAATAAAAGAAAGAAGAAGTAAATAAATAAGAGAAGAAATAAAAGAAAAAATAAAAGAATTATTTTTTCTTCTTTTTCCTCCTTAACCAAATAAATTAATAAATAAATAAATAAATTAATAAATTAATTAATTAATTAATAAATTAATTAATTAATTAATTAATTAATTATATTAAATAAATAAATAAATAAATAAATAAATAAATAGCTGACCTGGTGTTTGTAGTTCAATATCATCTGTACAAACCATTTTTTGCTGCTGCTGCTGCTGCTGCAGCAATAGCAATTGCTGCTGCTGCTGCTGCTGCTGCTGTTGCTGCTGCTGCTGCTGCTGCTGCTGCTGCTGCTGCTGCTGCTGATTAAAAAATACTTGTGATGGTGTCCTTCCTCCTCTAAGACATAACTCTAATAACCAAGAAGGTAAACATCTTTGTGCTTCTTCGTTACCAATATCATAAATAAACCATACACCTATACATAAACCCTAAACCCTAAACCCTAAACCCTAAACCCTAAACCCTAAACCCTAAACCCTAGGGAAATTATATAAAAAAAAAATAAACACTTTTTATATATGTATATATTATTTAATATATAAATCATAAACCCTATATTTACTATATCCATCCTAAACCCTAAACCCTAAACCCTAAACCCTAAACCCTAAACCCTAATTACCATCAAAAGGTGTGGCATAAAGAAGAGGTCTTGCTGCTGCAGTTGCTGCTGCTCCTCCAACCTCCCAGAATTCAATAAAATATTTTCCTCCTGAGGTGTCTGTACACCGCAAACTTGTTATACATACACCGCAGGTACTACGGTAACCTAATAAGGCAGACACAGGAGGAAGAGAAGAAAAAGAAGAAGAAAAAGAAGAAGAAGAATATATTAATCCATCTGCTGCTCCTCCTGCTGCACCTGCTGCTGCTCCTCCTGCTCCTCCTGCTGCTGAGGAGGCGGAGGCGCAGCAGGAGGGGTCTTCCGCGGAGAAACCTGTGCATGCAGATCCTGAGAGGAAAAGATACAAATGCTGCAGTATATATATGCATGCAGCAGCAGCAGCAGCAGCAGCAACAGCAGCAGCAGCAGCAACAACAGCAAGAGGTGCAGCGGAAGCAGAAACTTCGTAGGGAGTAGCCATCATGTGCAGCAGCAGCAGCAGCAGCAGAACTAGTAGCAGCAGTACCAGCAGCAGCAGTACCACCACCACCAACATCAGCAGTAACAGCAGCAGCAGCAGCAACAGCAGCAGCAACCGCAGCAGCAACAGCAGCAGCATGAAGCTTACCAAGACTTTCTTCCTGCTGCTGTGCAAGACATGCAGCCCCTAAATCTGCTGCATGCATCTCTAGTAGCTGCAGCAAGGCTGTCTTCCCTCCTGCTGCTTCCCCTACTACCAGTACCCTAAGGGCCTCCTCCTCTCCCTCCTCATTCTCCTTAGAAATACCACACTGGGGGCCCCCAGGAGAGCTCCCTCGGGGCCCCCAGGGCCCCCCCCCATGATGGTCGCCATCCATAGAGGGGGCCCCCAAGGGGCCCCCCACCATAGGGCCCCCTACAAACGGTCGAGGCTTCGGGGTACCCCCGAATAACCCACGAACCCCAAATCTGCCAAAGGGCCCCTGGGGAGCCCCCAGGGGGGCCCCCTGGGGGCCCCTCTCCCCTACAGACATGTTGAGGGGCCCCCCAGCTAGGCGGCTGTAGCCGCATGGGGCGCTCGCTTGCTGGGGGCTTTGTGCCAATTATATACAATATTGAGTATAAAAAAGGGTAAAAAGAGTAAAATAAAATAAAATAAATAAAAATAAAGACAAAAAGAGTAAATTAATGGGGTAAAATGAAGAAAACAATGGCTATTTCCTTAGAGAACAGCACGGCAAGCTACACGACAGCAGGAGTGCTAGACAACGGGTAAAAGGGAGAAAAAGACCATTTATAGGTTAATTTATGATCTAATGACAAAAGAATTAATTATTATTTTAATTTATTTTTTATTTTTTCTTCTTTTTTATCATAAAATACACAAAAAGATGTACAATATGTCTTAATGCATGCACCAGGCAATGGGGCCCGTGCAGCAACAAGAAGGAACTTTTTTAGGTTTTGTTTGTTCATTATTTATTCTTTTTCTTTTCTTTTATTATAAATAAATAAATAAATAAATATATAAATAAACAAAGACATTTATAATTATATTATTTATTTATATTTATTAAGGTATACAGAATAAAAGGAAGAAGAAGAAGATATTTATTTATTTACTTATTAATAAAATAATTAATAATATAAAAAAAAGAAGAAAAAAAAGAAATAAAAAAAAAGACATAAAAGGGGAAGTTTATCTTTTTATTATATTTATTATAAACAGCAAAAAGTATAAATAAATAAATAAATAAATAAATAAATAAATAAATAGGTGAATAAATAAATAAATAAGTGAATAAATAAAAAAAAATAATTAAATTAAATGCAAGGAAGCGTCTAAAAAAAAGGAGAAAAGATAAGCCTGTCGCCGCCGCAGCAGCAGCAGCAGCAGCAGCAGCAACAGCAACAGCAGCAGCAGCAACAGCAGCAGCAGCAGCAGCAACAGCAGCAGCAGCAGCAGCAACCCTGTCATGACTGCATGCATGCAATTTATTTACTAAGACAGGGTAAGAATTATTTACCCCCTTTATCCTCCTCTCTTTGCACCTGCAGCAGCAGCAGCATAGTCTACTGCTGCTGCTGCTGCTGCTGCTGTTGCTGCTGCTGCTGCTGCTGTTGCTGCTGCTGCTGCTGCTGTTGTGCCATTTCCTTACAAAGGTGTTATTGTTAGTCATATACAACAGTCTGTTCATTCTCTCTTAGAAAACCGCCCTAAACCCTAAACCCTAAACCCTAAACCCTAAACCCTATACCCTAAACCCTAAACCCTAAAGGGATTTCATAAAAGGTTGATATCCATAGGGACATGAATCTCGTTAATATTTCTCAGACAACAGCAGATATTCCCTAGGGTTTAGGGTTTAGGGTTTAGGGTTTAGGGTTTAGGGTTTAGAGACCTCTATAGATGTTAATATATAAACCCTTAGCCGTAAACCCTAAAAAGGAGAATAAGAAGAGAAATAAAAAGGAGACAAATAAATAAATTATAAATAAAAAAAAAAAGGAGATAAATAAATTAATAATAATAAATTAATTATAATAAATAAAAAAGAGACAAATAAATTAATTATAATAAATAAAAAGGAGACAGATAACTCCAGTTAGTTGCTGAGTACCTTCTTTGCATAAGCTCCTAGGGTTTAGGGTTTAGGGTTTAGGGTTTAGGGTTTAGGGTTTAGGGTTTAGGGTTTAGAGATAAATAAGCAGACTATATAAGGGAGATAATAAACCCTTTTTTTTATATAAATAAATATATAAATATAAATATATATAATAAATAAAAAAAAGGGTTTATTAATCCCTTTTTTTATTTATATATATAAATAAATATAAATATAAATATAAATATAAATATAAATATAAATATAAATATAAATATAAATATA